GCATATCCTGCCAATCTGGAACATCCCAGGTGAGACAGGAAGGGAAAGTGAACCTTCAACAACTGTGGGAAGCACAAAAGGTACAAATGATATACTGGAGGGTGTGAACATCCTGGAAGATGCTGCATCCCATAAAAGACTGGGTTTAGTGACTGTATTCCGTGAAAATGGCAGCAGTTGCACCTGTGTGTGCTAAAGAAACAATAGCAACAACCCATCCAAGTTCTATCACTGGCAGTTAGTTAGAGGAACAATTTTAAGTACTCATCCAGGCCTGGCCAATATGTAAATTCTTCCTACATTGACCTGTCAGGCCATTCTTTCATTTGCAAAAATGAACAATGTAGATTTTTTTAAAAAATGTATTACGAAATATCAGTTTTTATGAATAAGTATCTGTTTCTATGTAAGTTTTCCCTTTCTGTAGGAGAATTTCATTTTCTCTTCCCCTACATGTGGGTCTCTTTACATGTCTCTAGGTATCTATGTGTACCTGTGTGTGTTTGCACCTGTGTTAGGCTATATATGCATGTTTTGATTATTTGAGCATAGGTGCAACTGTGGTTCTTTTCAGATCTTTATTAATATGTGCATGTGGGGTGCGTGTGTGTGCACGCACATGCGCGCATATGTGAGGAAAGACAGGGATATCAAATATATTTAGTCACTTTTCTGCAAAATAAACAAAACCAAACCTCAGATGAGGGCATGTAGGTGCAGCCATTTTATTGACAGATCTTGCAGCCATCACCAATGGTCTAATATTCAGTAAAGAAAGCATTGGTTGCTTTCTCCTTTTCCAGGACTACTCCTGGTTGGAAGCATCAGAAGAGGTTTTTTAAAAAAGAACAAAAAAAAAGGCAGATGAGGTGATCATGAGTCAGCAGACAGGTAGAAAGCAGACAGGTAGATGTGGTATTTAGAATCCCTGGGATCTCATGAGCTTGCGAATAGCCGCATTGGTGTCCCCTTCAGTAGCAATGAGTGCCTGTAGATTGGCATAGTGATTCCCAAATCCCATGGCCTGAAGAGATTCCATCTGCTTGCTGAAACGAATCTCAGGGGCTTGTAGAAAGTGGGAAGGATCTCCAGCTAGGGACTGTAGCTTCTGCAGGACTGTTCCAGGTATGTGGCAGCACTCGGATCTCTTGGACTCGGGTATATCCGGCATATTCCAGGCCCAGTGCATTGGGTCAGGATAGTTGCAGTTGGGGGCAGAAAGACAACCTAGGCCCCATGAGTAAGGTGCAACCCAGGGCAGAAGAACAGGAGCCTCTGTGGCCAACAGCTGGAGTCCCTGCTCGATCTGCAATATTGCTTGTGACGCTTTAGGGTTAGTAAGGGCTAAAAGAAGGTCAGAGAATTGTGACTGCTGCAGGAATGTGGGCAGCTGCTGTTTCCACTGGTCATTCAGCTGGGGCATACCCATGAACACCATCTGAGCTGCCAAGTGGGGATTATTCATAAGTAACTGCATCATGCCTCCTGTGATCTGAGAACTATTCTGCTCATCTGACAACTGGGGATCTTCCTCCAACTTCTGTTCAGGACTATCTATAGAGATAGTGGCATCCTGGTCTTCCTCTTGAGACTTTTGGGTAACTTCTTTACTAGGCAAGGCTGCTATCTCAGTGTCATGGACAGGGCTTTGGTCGTTGGTCGAGATCGTRGAAGTATGGTTGACTCTGTTTGGGGTGGCATTGGTTGAGATGCCATTGGTTGAGATGGAGGAAAAACCACGGGAACTAGTATAGATGACTTTGGTTGTAGGGAGCTGTGGGAGCTGGTCACGCCATTCCTGAGATGGTGGTGGAATTGTGGGTGAAGTCTGTAGCTGTTCTGGTGCTTGTCCTGCCAGGAGAGCTGTGAAAGGGTTGCCCCCAAAAGGATCTTTTGAATTGTTGAGCATTCCGTCATTGAAATCAGTGTAGCTCTGACTCAAGGCATTATTCCCACCTGGAATTGTCTCAAAACCCAGTGTATTCAGTGGATGCTCAGGGTTCTGTGCAGGCTGCTGGGTCTGCATTATCTCTTGAATGACGGCAAGATTCCTGGCTAACTCCAGAGTCTGATATAGGATCTCGGAATTGTCAAGGAGATGGGAGACTTCTGGATTCTGCTGCATCAATTGTTGCATGTCTGGGTGTTCGGAGATGAACTGCCGCATATACTCCATGTTGGACTGAAGCCGTTGGATATTAGGATTCTCCAGTATCCGTGCTATACACTCCGAAGTGTCTACTTTCAAGTCCTGCGTACGCACTTTGGGTGCATCAGTCTTCACAAACAGGTCTGATTCYGTGGGTGTTTGACTCATGCTGGCAGATTTGCATACCCCACTGCTATTTCCTTTGGTGTTTCTGTCCCCATGGCAGGGCTCGCTGACTGGCAGGTTCCTGGAGGAATGGGCCAGGGATCTGGAACCGTGCTTGGACTTGATGACCAGATGGATGGTGTGGCCATCTACGATGCCCCTCTGGCTCAGTGTGTCATGGTCTTTGAGAAGGCGGCCCATGAAGACCAGCACTAGTTGATCCATTTGACATTTGAAGTGAGCCGATAGCTTCTCCTTGAACTGCCTCACTGAGGTGTCATCAGCTACTATAAAGTCTTTCAGGTTGCCTGGTGTCTTCACTATCACTCGAGTAACACTGGAGATGGTCCTGTCTGCAGGCAGACCTGAAGAACGCCCTCTCTGGGGCATTTTGGGTGTTCGAGAGATGACATGCGTCATGGAACTTTGTGGGTGGGCAGATGGGGAGTGAGTAGAAGCAGGGGCAGAGGGGTGAGGGCAGGCAAATGTTTCTGCTGGCCTTCGCTGTGGGTGCTCTGTTCTCAAGCCACAGGCTAGCTTTCTTGCTGTCCAAAAACAGATGAGTGACTGGACGGAGACCAGTATTTTTGATGTTGTACCCTCACCCCAGATCTCCAGATGTGGCCCAGCTGAGGCCTGGTGTGGCTATTAATTCATATTGGCACAAGGTGGACTAAGTGGCGATAACTCCCCTCAGAGTTGCCCCTCCTCCTGCCCCACCCACAAAGGCCATGACCTCCTCAGAAAAGGGATATTGTGATGTCAACTTAAGCCTCATAGTATGTCAAGGACTAGCTGGGGAAAATGGATGTATTTGGGRATAGGGTCCAAATCTCTATTATAAAATAAGACAATTTTCCAGAAGAACAAAGACAAAATTCCCCAACAACAACAAAAAAAAAGATTTAAAAAAACATACATATATACAGATGTTTTGTGTGTGTGATGTGTGTTTCATGTGTGGCATTACATATAGGCCCTTTGTAAAAATATCAGGCGTGTTATATAAAATATGRGATCTACTGAAGCCATTGACAAAATCACATTCCTAAAAACAAGAATGGAGACTATGCCACCAGAAGGAACTTGTTAATTTTACTAGTGGTCTGCAAAAGGTGGGCCTTAGAAAAGAAACTAGAACAAGAACAAAGATRTTATATGGAAAAGGAGATCATGTTCTTCTCTGGGGTCCAGATTTTGCTATTCTAAACTTCAGAGTGTCTCATATGGTGGGTAAAACCTTTCCTCTTTTCTAAGAAGCAGGAATAATGCTACCTGGGTAGCTAGCTATAGGAGTATTGCAAGCTAAAGGTGAGTGAGCCACCACTTGCAGCACAAGATTTCTTCACATAGTTCATAGGTGGCTTTTTTACATACCATCATAGCAGAACTTTTAGGATGATTTATTTCAAGGGCCTTGTTTGATTTTAAATGCTTGTCTTTGTGACAAAGCGTTAAGGGGGAGAGACATYTGAAATCAAAAGGTGAGAGTGGAAGTGGTCACTAGTATAATTCCTATGAGGACAGACAGGTTTAGGCAACTGAAAAGTCAGATTCTCAATTTTGGAGATAGTGTTTGATTTTTATTTGGGTAGTTGATGAATTAGCTATTAGTGGAWATGCTAAAATGTCTATGTTGATGTTTGGGTATAGATAGAGTTATTGTACACAAACGAGTGAGATTCGTATGTCTTACTGGATGTATATTTGTGGATATATGTGGTGTAAAAGTGAATTCATACTTTGTGTGACTGGGAAGACTTCAGGGTCTGGATCCTTAAGCATTCCATCCACCTGCCTGGAGAAGGCRGAGTACTATGTAGATGGATAAGGGAAATGCAAAGTCCAAGTCCATATGTTCTCACTTGTAACAAAGACAAGCAAAACAATTCAGTTTATTGGCTAGGAGACTTCCTGCAGTCACACCTAGAATTCTTTATTGAGAATGTCTGGACCCACAGCCCAATCCATGTCAGATCCAGTACAGTTTCCAATTAATTGCTAACTTCCTAGAGTGGGACCCAGGCTTAAGCCTCTTTTTCAGCTATATATGTAAAAGTGAGATTGATTTATGACATTAAAAAATATTAGTCTTCAAGACCAAGACCCTGCCTCATTTCTCCCTAGGAACCACAAAAAGGATAAGAATGGTAACTTCAATATCCTACTCTAATGACCAGCTTCCATGGATCTTCTACACTGGATTCAGATGTTCTCAATTGACACTGGGAATTCTAAGTCATATAACCTAGAATTTTTAGGAGCTGGGTTCAGAGTTTTAAAACACAGAACAAGAGATACCAAACTATCAGAATGAGTGGGTATCATTTTCCTAGCTAAGTGTGTGTGTGTGTGTGTGTGTGTGTGTGTGTGTGTGTGTATGTGTGTGTACTCACATGCTAGGGATTGAAAAGACTATTTCTCTCTCACCATCATGATTGAGATTGAACCCAGGGTCCGGTGCCTGCTAAATATATTCTCTACTACTTGTTTCTCAAGCAAAACTTCAAAGACTACTATTAAATGGAACCTTAATGTATTGATTGAAATATGAATTACATAAAGAATTAGCTACATAGAATCAGGTTTCTTAATCACTTAGAGTCTATGACCATTTTGGAGGGTGGTCCTTCTAGAGATGAGAAAAAGGATACACTTCTTCCAATGCCCTGCCTAGTCTGAGGTCTCAGGACCCAGAAGGCTTGGATTTGACAACTCTGGGTGAAGCACGATCCCCAGAGGGCCTTTTGGCTGCTGGTCTAGATACTGTGTGCTTCAGTGTCAGGAAGGTGAGGTCATAATACATTAGGTAACCATCATTGTAGACATAGAGCCTGTGGTCCGAGGGGGAGTAATTGATGCCATGCAGTGTTTCCAGCATCTTGTCCAACAGGATGCTGAGGTGGCGCTCCTGCYCATTGGTGGTATCAAAAGCATAAAAGATCTCCTCTTGGCGAGTGCTCAGTGAGCGTAAGGCATAGAGAACACCACAGGCCATGAAGGCCCCCGACAGGGCTGGCTTGTACTGGCTGGTGCGCCAGGATTCCTCTACTTCTAGGGTGCTGGCATTGAGACGACTCACAACCAGGTTGCCCTTGCTCTCCTCAGTGGCATAGAGCACCCACAGCCCCTTCTCATCACCAGCAAAATCTAAGTCCTTCCAAGGCACACTAGCATAGGAAAAGCGGTTATTGTAGGTAGCACCAGGCAATGGGCGCTGCAGCACGAGGGTGTTGGAGGAAAGGTCCACTTTGGCTATGTCATTCGTGCCATAGTAGTTAAAGTACATGAAGTTCTTGTACACAGTATTGCCACTGCCATCACCATAGCCCATCTTCCACTGCTCATAGTTCTTTAGCATCACCAGGTCATCATAGGACTTGTGCAGCCGATAGTAGTCAAAGTACCTAGGCCAAGCACCCCCACACACACACACATCAGACCATTAGGTGACAGCAATGAACAGGATAATAAAGTGCTATAAAAATGGGCAGGTTAGTGGACCAATTAAGAATAGGGACCAAATAGGAGCCAAATAGAATTGAGTTTTAATTCATCTTCTTTTACTTCTTGTATACCATGACAAAATAAATAACTGTGAAAATAACAGTAATAAAAACAACAGCTACAGTGCCTGTTAATCATTAAATATGCATTATCTTGTTTAATTATAATAAAGCCACTGTAAGGTAGATTTTATCCTTTCATATTAGGGGGCTAAGTCAACTTTGCTCAAGTTGACACAAATTATAAATTTTCTTTTTTTGTTTGTTTTTGCAGTGCTGGGGATTCTATCTGGGGCTTCACACATAATAGACAAGTGCTGTGTCACTGAGCTACACCCTCTGCCCTAGCTTATTACTTATATCTGTAAAAGAAACAACAAAAGAATCTACTTCATTGATTGATGGAAGGCATTGGAATAATGCAAAGGAAAAACAATAGTACAGTATTTCATGGCAGGCATTTAACCAATGATAAGATATTACTGTATTCTTCTTATGGACATTTTTCTGTACCTAGACTCCACTGCCTTTCACCTGCCTTTGAGATGCAGGTATACTGTAACAGGACAGTTCTGAAGCTGTATTCAGAAGATCACTCTGGAAAGTTCCTTAAATTATTTATTATTATTAAGTTTTGAATATCTTATTTCTTAACACTGGGCAGTAGGACTTAACTAGAATTTTCAGAAGATTCAAAGAGCAAAGGCATATTGATGTATTTAATATGCTACCAAATGTTTATAAGACTTGAGGAGCATTATTATCACTAAGGCTAATCCTTCTGAGATAAGATGCAACTGGATTCTTCAATGACTGGTTCAACCCACATTTATCTCTACTTCCTATGAGCTTCTACCCAATTGATTCCACACCACATATCCACATGTACTGACTTCAAACTCTCAGTGAGTTGTGCCTACCTCCCTAATCAGACTGACATATTGAAGGGCTCCTTCATCTATTCATTTAGCCGTTCTTTTATCCAACAAATATTCATCAGTCCATATAATGTTCTCACATATTATCCTCATTTTAAAAATGATGAAAAAAGTCCATTTCTCCAAGATCACTTAGCTTAAGTAGCAGTGCTGAGAATTAAATTCAGACCAGCTTAACTCTAAGTCTTAAGGTTGGTCAGGATCATTCTGTAAATTTCTTCTAAGCAGGAAGTTGGGATTCTAAGGTCAAGTATAGAATAATTTGTCCTTGAGATAAGATCAGACTACATAATGGAATCATCTTTGGGTCATAATAAGATTTTTAAAAATTCAGATAGTGGATTTTTTGAAGGAAGCTCATGGAGGTCTGGGCCAAACTTATCTCTTAAGAAGAATGTTAAGAGGAGACTTCTTAGGTCTAGAACAGATATTTCCAGGAACACACCTAAAATTGAGGAAGCTGGACTGGTTCTACAAAGAAACCTGCAAAGGAAAGGGGAGGGAACATGTAGAATGAACCTGGTTGCAGCAAACTGTCATCCAGGACTCACCTGCCATCTGTACGCAGAGGGGCCACCAGTAAAGGGGAGAGTCTGGACTGGRAGCTGAATCTCGGCCCCAAGCACCTGCCTTGTGTGAGATGCCTCTCCAATTGAGCTGCAACACCAGGGGTCTACCGACTTTCTGGAGTCCTCCATGGGCACAAGAACCTAGAGGTAAGGCAGGAAARGTCTGAGCTATGTGCAAAGTATACAATCCAGAGAGAGGAGAATRTTAAAAATAATGACTATGTCTACATATACTGTATGCCTATACCCCAGTGCATGGGCAGGTACAGAAACAGGTCAATTTTTCATAAATAGAGATCAGTGTGTATGTCTAATTATGAGGTGTTCATATGTTTTGAATCATCCTTGGGTAAAAGTATACTAGTTTGTATTTTGCATCTACCAGTGTCACCAAAGAGGGGGGAAAAAAAAGAAAATTAAAGATTTAGTTCCCATCTACATCTCTATTGCAACTCTGCACTCTCAGCACTTATTGCTGGGGAAAGAAAATCTTAAGAAATTGAGTTTGTGTACTCACCAGGGGGCAGGGGTGGACCAGGGTGACTGGAGGCCTGCTCTTGTTCCTTTTCCCTCTCACACTCATTTAGCTGGCCTTGGAGTATATCCACCTCCTGTTGGAGAGCTCTGAAGTTGCGCTGGTCAGAGTCAGCCAGAAGCTTGAGTGAGAGACTGGCATTCGTCACCTGAGGAAATGAGACACCAGGAATGTGGATAATAGATCTGAACTTAARAACTGAATTCAGACTCTCCTATTTTTCAGCTCTGAGATTTTTTTTCTCCTCAAACAAGAATCAATTTTGGAAAATTTCAAATATGTGAGGTTAAAAAAATAGGTGGCTGTGAAAGGAAGGGAGGGTTCATTAATCTATACATACCTGCTCCTGGAGTTGGTGAAGAAGGTCTGCAGCCCTACTAGCTCCTGCCTTGGACTTGAGCTCAGTTGTCAACGCTTGTGCTCCCTCTAGCTCCAGGAGCAGCAGATTGAAGGCCGGTGTCTCATAGAGGGAGGTAATGGTTTTGGGATTCCTGATCTCYTGTGTTTGGATCATTTCCAGTGCCTGGTTTTCTTGCTCTTCRATGGCACGTGCATACTTGCTGGCCTGAACATGCGGAGATGGACAGGCAGTTCTTCCAAAGGTCAAYTCCCCAGGTCTCTTCCCATCCATTCACCTCCTCCCAGAGCCATACAGCTTACAAATCACTCTCATGTGTATCATCTTACTTGCTCCTATTCAGTCCTTTAGGTGGGCAATTAGCATTACCCCTGTTTCACAGCTAAGGACACTCATTCTTTTCCCTGCAAGAAAAGACTTCTTACCCCACACCAGGTTTAATTTTTTTTTCCCCTACCCTGGTTACAGCCACCCCTGAGAACTGGTTTGGTGAGTGAAAGAATGAATGGAAGGACTCCCAACTTCCAGTTGGCCGCATCTYTCAAGCTTCCCCAGAAACTCAACAACTGAAGATAAACTAAGTGACCATATCACACTGCTGACACAGCACTTCTGTTCACTCATCCTTGTTATAAAAACAACCCTAAGCTTGCCAGTCCAAATCAAAAGTCCTTCCACCCAGTGTTCTCATTTTAACTCTTCAACTCAACTTGTCCCTGGTTCCTTTGCATTGCTTATTTCACTTGACACCTTTGCCTAGTCTATACTTGTGCCCAGATTTTCCCCTGYTCATCTTCCAGGTACCCATATGTATTAATTCACTCATTGATGTAAGAAGCACCCCTACATAAACCTTTCTATACTGTTTCTGCTGTTGGGAAATCTCAAGAAAAGTTCCTAATTTTACATTTAATCTAAGGATTCATTTCAAAGATAAGGACTGTGTTTCTTCCAGTTTCTTCTCTACTGCCAGGACGCAACCCCATGCTGGATCCAAAGGAGGCTGTGTTTGGATAAGTCCAAGCTCCATCCCAGGCACACAGCTTCAGCACTCACCCAGAGTAGCTGCTGTTCATACTCGCCAATGAGCTCCTTTGCCATACTTTGTAGTTGCTCCAGCTGCTGCAGAAGGACCGAGCTGTTGGGCAGGTGAACCACACAATGGCATGTGCCACTCTCATTCATAGAGTTTGACAAATTTCTCACCAGCTGCAAAAGCATAGGCATGGGCACAMTAAGTGGAATGAAGTATATTGGACTACAACATGCTGTTTACAAACCTGAGGCAGGAGAAGAAACTGAACCTACTCTGGAGTGCCAGAGAAGAGTTCTCTCTTCACTTGAAGGGTTCTTCTTGACTTATGGATATACCTCTATCAGGGGTTTGAGTATTTGGGGGTGGGACTGAGGTTGAACCTAGGGGTGCCCTATCACTAAACTATATTATCACTGACATTTATTTATTTATTTATTTRTTTRTTTRTTTGTTTGTTTRTTTATTTATTTATTTATGAGAAAGGATCTCATTAACTTTCCCAGGCTGGCCTTGAATTTGTGATCCTCCACACTTAGTTTCTCAAGTAGCTGAGATAATAGGTCTGAGTCACCACACCTGGCCTACTCTTCATCTTTTAATTTCCCATAATTGAAGCTTCAGTACTCTTCTAGCTCCTATTGGTTGAGCCATCCTCACCCTACCTCCGTACTGGCTGGATCTAGCTGCAGTTTGCATAGCTGAAAGTCAATTTTCCTTAAAGCTGTATACAAGACAGCAAAGCTACATTCAGAGAAATGTTAGGGAGAGAGGCTTAAGGAGCTTAATCCTGTCTCAAAATATCGCCACTCTAGGGATTTGACCACTTCCCACAACTTCACCTTGTCTTAAAGACACCAGGTAAAGAGAGTTCCTAATCATCAATGAAGGGAATCATCAGTAACAGCACCATAATCATCAGATTCTTGACTAATATTCTCGATTATCATTCACAGAAATGTGACTTGAAGTGAACTGTAAAACATATTTTGTACTTGAAAAATGAGAGGAGTCTGAGACTTTAAAAATACCTTATGAAGCCACATGATTAATAAGTATTGAGGATGCAATCTGCCCTTAGGTTTCATGTTTATTCGAGATCCTGTGCTCTTACACCTAGGGAAGCTAAAGAGCTCTGAGCTATGTTGAGGTGAGTATGTAGTACAGGCCAAAAGAGTGAGGGTGGGASGCAGATCCCTTGTCTCAGATCAGTAGAACAAAGAAGAATGTTCTAGGGCTAAGATATGCATTATTTGGAAGTCTTCTTGCCTCTCATATCACTTTCATACTCACATAAATCCCAAACTCATTAATTCTATAACTAGAATTCCTAAATTCTAATTTTAGCTCTTGATGTTGGGTTGGCTACTTATTTTTTGGGTCCCAGTGTTTTGGGGTGTACAATGGTAGAAATTATGTCATTTGTCTTATAGTTTTACTTTAAGAATGTTTGATAGATAGATAGATAAAATTTTTGTAAAACACTTGGAATAGTGCTTACCTGCATATGATAGAGTCCTTATTTTATTATAATTCTCAAGGTCCAATTTTTCACACCCATTTTGAAACTGGATGAGCAAGCACTAGATTAAAGACTCCTTCCCAATTTTTAAATTAGACCTGTGGCACTAGCTGGGATTTCTTACCAAATCTTCTAGAATTAAATATGTGGCCTTTGTATTTCTCAGAGAAGACCCACACATAGCTTTTCTGGTCCTATAAACAATAACCTACTCTGGTTATATATTCAGCTTGCAAATTCCAACCCAATAGTTGAGCTTTGTTGGGATAATGAAACAAATATTGCATAGTTTGCTATACCTGATCTAGCCACCATTAGCTCCAGTACCCTTAGCACAGGAAGAAGAGAATGAAGCCTCATAATTTGGCATGTTAGATAGCATGTTAGTTCTCTATTTCCTTTGCCATTCTCTTCTCTCTTACATCCTATGCCCATACAAGCYAGGGGAAAATCAAAACAAAATGATGTCCCATCCTCCTTTTCCCCCCTAATTCTCTCTACTTTCACTCTCTCCAAGGATTAAGGGATTTTTGAGCAGAATCACAATAGAGAAGGAAGCCAGCCCAAAGTACAGAACCATCTCCCTACCTGCTTGAGATCCCTCCACCCTCTGCCTGTACCTGAGGCTGTCCTAGGAGCACTAGGGGCAGCAGCAGTAAAGTGGCCAGAAGAGTTAGGACAGGCTGCATCTTGCTCCTCCTGCAGAAGTGCAGTAARTCCTTGGGGCTCCCCTCGGATTTATCACCAGTGAAAATGAATAACCTCAGGAGGAGGGGACAAAGATTTCAACATCTGAAAGTGCTGAGCACTAAGAAGATACAGGGGAGGCTGGATTGGTTGAGAAGAGGATTATGACAGACTGGTACCTCCTCCAAACATGAGAGGAAATAGGATTCCCACTCCAAATGGGGCCTTCCTTGTTCATCCCCTGGCTGAGCTCTGTTCCCACCCTGCCAGGCCCTCTTCTCCAAACAGATTAAGAAAAACCTGAGACATCCTGGGGGGGTGCCTGGCATGGGTCCTTTTCAGGAGGGATTGTGATCTTTCCCTCAACTTTAAGGAAGGAAAGACTCTAAAAGGAAATGCAACTGTACCTGTTCAATCTTGAGAACAAAAACCATTTACTTAACTTTGTGCCCTTGTATCAGTGCCAAAGTGGAGGGCCAAAGGAAGACCTGGGGTGGGAGGGGTTGCTTCAGCAATGCTGTGCTGGAATGCTCTGTCATATACCCTCCCTCACCTCTAGCAATTTGCCTCCTCCATTCCCCTAGGTACTCTAAATTTTCCATCCCACTTCATTATTCAGATACTTCCCTAGTTCCCTTAGTCTTGATGCTTTCAGCCTCTACTGTCTGTCCCCCAAGAAAATCCCCAAAATATTTTCTAATCTGCTGCAGGAAGTTATTGAGCCTCAAGTCATCTGGCCTCCAAGTCCTCTGGCTATCTCTAAAGAAAGGCAAGAGTTTGGCTCCTAACAYCTGGACAAGGTATCATGGGTCAGTTTTCTTAGTGATGATTGCCCTAAATTACTCTCTCATCCTCTACCATCTCACATGAATACCTCTTTGGCACTGAGACGTGCAGTGGGGATGCCAGATTTCCTATGAAAGTAGGTATTTCCTATGAAGAGTGTATGTATATCATCCCAGTTTTCTTTTCTTTTTTCTTTCTTTCTTTTTTATGGTACTGGGGATTATATTCAGAGGCTTTTAACCACTGAGCCACATCACCAGTCTTTTTTTTTTATTATTTTGCCAAGACATAATTTTTTATTTATTTTTTAGTTGTAGTTGGACACAATACCTTTATTTATTTATTTTTAAGTGGTGCTGAGGATCAAACACAGGGCATCACACTTGCTGGCGAGTGCAGTACTGCTGAGCCACAACCCTAGCCCAAGACATACTTTTTAAGTGGGTACAATATAAAATACTTTTTGGTCAGTTTCCAACTTTTTATTAAYTTGTATTTAATATATGCTTCCCTTTGAGACCATAAACTCCACAAAGGCAGGAGTCTTTTTTATTTGACCCTTTCAAATCTTTTCTCCATTCCCTTGCCATCTGCTTGGATACAATCAATAGGAGCACCACCAGATCAGATGGTAAAGAATGACATCTAGGTATTTGTTCTCCCAGGTTTTTTGTTTGTTTGTTTGTTTGTTTGTTTTTTAAATGTGTGTGGTTCAGGGATTGAATCCAGGTACACTTTACCACTGAGCCTCTTATTTGTTTTGAGTCAGGGTCTCACTAAGTTGTGGAAACTGCCCTCAAACTTGCAATCCTTCTGCCTCAGATTCCAGAATCAGAATTACAAACATGCACCACATCCAGCCCAGTTTAATTTACAAAAAAAAAAAAAAAAAAAAAATTGGTTCTATTTTATCACACTGGTTCAATGTTAATACAGTTGTCCCTTGAATTGGTTCCAGGATCCCCTGCAGACATACTATATTTATTGGTGTGCTGGGGATTGAACCCAGGGCCCAATGTATGACAGAGACATGCTCCACAACTGAGCTACTCATTCCAACCACTCATATACTTTAAATCATCTCTTCACTACTTATATCTAATAAAATTTAAATGCTAAATAGTTGCTATACCCTGTTAGGGGATGACAAGGAAAAAAAAGACACAATTTCTTTCCAATTATTTTTGATCCTGGGTTGGTTGAATACCCGGATATAGAATCCATGGATATGGAGGGTCAACCATATTTATTACTACTGAAATTAATATGATTGTAGGGCTGGGATGTGGCCCAGAGATATAGCTCTTGCCCCAAATGCATGAGGCCTTGGGTTCAACCTATGGCACCACACACACACAAAAAAAGATCCTTTTTTTTTTTTTTTTTTTTTTGCAGTATTGGCCATTGAAAACACAGGGACTACTTAGCACTCATCTCTCTCTCTCTCTCTCTCTCTCTCTCTCTCTCTCTCTATATATATATATATATATATATATATATATATATATATATTTTAGTTTTAGATGGACACAATGCCTTTATTTTTTATCTGGTACTGGGGATCAAAACCAGTGCCCCACACACGTGAGGGAAGCGCTCTACGACTGAGCTACGACCTCGGCCCCCTTTTTGAGACAGGATCTCAACAAGTTGTCAAGGCTGGCTTTTAACTTGTAATCCTCCTGGCACAGCCTCCAGAGTAGCTGGCATTACAGGAATGAGCCTCCACACCCAGTTTCAGTGGTCTTAATTATCATGAATTTGTGATAAAGCTATCTGACCACAGCTGGAGTTATGTTAAAATGATATGGTAACCTCAGTGACTGACAAACAATAGATGGAAATGATGGGAATAATCAAGAAGTATTTGAATTTATTTGATGGGAGGAGAAAAAATAGATTTCCACAAGTTTTATACCAACTTCTTACACACACACAAACACCTCACTTTTACTCTCAATTCATGTAACTGTTTAAAGTGGCTATGTTAAGTAATATCTTTGTAGAAATTTTCCTTATTTAAAATATTAAAACCTTGATATATATCAAAAATAATAAAAAAAGATTAGCCCCCTGCCATCCTCAATGTAAGTTTTTTCCTTAGCATATGAACAAATCATAGTAAACTTTACAAAGAACTGTTATCTACCGAGTCATATTTCTCTCTAAGTTTACTCAATTAAAACAATTATTTACAATCTTTATTAACAATTGGAGAGGGCTGGGGCTGTAGTTCAGTGGTAGAGCACTTGCCCAACATGGGTGAGGCACTGGGTTCAATCCTCAGCACCACATAAAAACAAATAAAGGTTAAATTCTTAAAAAAAACTAGATTTTACTATCAAAAAGTTACTTTTCCTTTTGTTCTTCAAGGATGCCTTATAAAACTACTTGATAAAGGAGTTATATAAGATACTGACATTCCACACTGACAGATTCAACACTGCTCACAAATCTAGGGAACATTAGCTGGAATTTTAACTCAAGAAACCAATGACAACAAAATCAATGACTTTTGAATTAGATGACTATCAGCGGAGGAGAGGAAAAATTTAGATCTCCATTTCATAAGGACTTTCTTAAATGCCATGAATAACTTATTTGACCWATAGATAGGCTTCATACAATAAAATCAGAGTAAAACAATAAAAGGCATATT